ATATATATAGGTAGGTACCGTAAACTGGTCGTGCGACCCCGTGGCGCACTGTCATGGAGACCAAAACCCATATTTTTACCCTCCAAAAACACCGTGTGATCATGCATACACACAGACACTTGATATATCAGAAGAAAGAGGAGCTTTTCCTCTTTTCAGTGGTATTATTTATTTGAATCAACGATTCTTTTGAAAGCAAAATCTTGCGGGATAAAAGACAACACTATCGAGATTTTCACCGCAGTGGCCGCACGTTACGTGTATTGATTTTTAGAGTGACCTCGGTTGAACAGGAACGTATGGTATTAAATACTGCAATCTGATTCGTCGATATTTCAAGATGAGAAGACAATCTTTCCTTTTCGGCTTGTGGACGAATTTTTTTCGGGAGGGCGAATGAGATGATGACTAGTGGGCAGTTAAAAGGTCTTTGGGGCCACAAATTCAAATAAATATCAACATATTATATACCAAAATTTTCAGTATTGTTTGTAGAATACACCTGTATTGTTTATTTGTGTATTTTTTAAACTTTGGTTCCTGTAAGAGACGATTATGCAACACTGTTTTGATTGGAAGCGGATAAAATTTGAAAATAAAACATTAATAATCTTTGCTGAAACTCAAAAAATATGTTTGCACCTAGTCAAATGATACATCAAAATAACCATAAATGAATATAGAACTGGAAAATATTGAAAAGTTTGCAGTTATTTACATACATTCCAAAGTATTTGTACATTTGGATCATAACATTCGATATTGAAAAAAAATAATTTTTTTACAATCTTGAAAAACGATCACAAACAGAAAAAAAACCCACTCGTATAGATGGAATTATTCAGAATTGCATTTGGAATAAACCTATACATGTCTTGAGTGGCACTTTTTGTGTAATTTCATCAAAAAGTAGTGATTTTGAGGAGAAAAAATATTTTAACAATTTAGATCTAGACCTAGATCTGGCACTCAAAAATATTGATTTCTCAATAACAGTGCATTGGCAATATGAGTCCAATCGTATCAATATTATAAAAAAGAGTCCTACACTTCTTTAGTGGGCAAAATAATGATAGATGTTGTGTAAAATTACTAAGACTGGTGTCCGGCCTATAATTTGAGCATCGCGATAAAACAAAGTCGAATAAACTACGAAATCGCGTTTCAAAACAGAATCTAAACTTCCGATTTTCAGTGGAAATGCTTGACCCGGAAGTCAACATTATGTTATGACCTTTATTTTAACATGGATATGTGGATTGGAATAGAATCTAAGCTAAAATTGAAGATCGGTTCTCGTACTGACGGCACTTTAGCCGTGCCGCCCCCCACGGCTCGGCGTAGCGAATGAGTTAAAGAATTAATAGAAGAGATTTGCGTGTGAAAACTTTCGGTAGTTTTTTTATGGAACCAGTGATCGGACTGACTACGGAAATATATCGTCAGAAATCCCATTCACTCCTCTTCCGGAATAACACAGCCATTATATACAAATAAACACCGGACGCTCCCCGTCGGCTCGCAAGTAGGGTACCATCGCCCCAGTTTCGTATATATTCTCTCTCGTTCCCTTCAGCGCGGCCCGGCGCGTAGCCGACAAGCCGGCGGTCGCGAGTGGTGATTTTAACCTCCCCTTGTATTTCTTGCCGTTTGGTCAAAAAGCCATGTTTACGTCAATAAATTTCCATCTTCTGGTTATTTGATAGCCCTGAAAAAAATTGGCTTGTTCTCTATGTGCATAGGTGTGTGTCTCATGGGTCTCAACTCAGAATTCTACAAAAGGAGGAACTTTCCGGGTGATCGCCACAGAAGCCCATTTTGGCGAAACACCCATTATTATTATACTGTTGAACCCTAGAATGCAGAAAACCATCAATTTATCAAAGCAAGGTTATTTCACACCAATTTGAGGGTTTGGGAGATAATTTCAAGTAAGAGTCAAGCACCAAATTTACAATCTTGATTATGTACAGAAAGTGGTGGCGCCTGGGGTCTTGTGCGACTTATTTATATTTTCCCTTCATCATATTCCCCTGTTTATATAAACTACATAAAAAGAAATATATTGTTTTGAGCCTAGAACCAGAATATCAACTGTCATGATTCATATCATATATATTATATATATAACGTGAAAGACAAAAATTAATGCTCAAACTCAAAGTAGAGTAGAATAGCCCAAGTAGACCTATTCAGTGTGAGAGGTGTAAGAACTGTGGGAGGGCAAGATGCAGTGATAGTGATACTGAAAATCAGCGAATCTTGCACAGTAAGCTAAAATATAGAGATCTAATTAAATTTAGGCTATTGTTAGGGGACCGTACGCCCCCATAGTGCTTGGCGCTAGGGGACCGTACGCCCCAATAGTGCTTGGCGCTAGGGGACCGTACGCCCCAATAGTGCTTGGCGCTAGGGGACCGTACGCCCCAATAGTGCTTGGCGCTAGGGGACCGTACGCCCCCATAGTGCTTGGCGCTAGGGGACCGTACGCCCCCATAGTGCTTGGCGCTAGGGGACCGTAGGCCCCAATAGTGCTTGGCGCTAGGGGACCGTACGCCCCAATAGTGCTTGGCGCTAGGGGACCGTAGGCCCCAATAGTGCTTGGCGCTAGGGGACCGTACGCCCCAATAGTGCTTGGCGCTAGGGGACCGTACGCCCCAATAGTGCTTGGCGCTAGGGGACCGTACGCCCCAATAGTGCTTGGCGCTAGGGGACCGTACGCCTTACCTGCGCTAAGTGTTAAGGGATCGTACGCAGATGTGCATGCATCTGGACTTTGCAAAAATACTGGACGAAAACGGACAGTTTAACGAAGCTCCTGGCGTTAGGAGTTCTTACAAAGAATGTTTAAAATATCTAAATACGATTGTGGGGTATCGTATACAGTGCCAAAATTTGAATTTTTCTCACGTTGTTGTTGTTAAGTGTCAATAAAAGACATCAAAGAGAGAGAGAGAGAGGAGGGGGGGGGGAGAAAGAGAGAGAAGGAGAGAGAGAGTGAAAGAGAGAGAGAGAGAGAGAGAGAGAGGGGGGGGGGAGAGAGAGATGGAAAGAGTTGGCGAAGGGAAGCCAAGCACTATTGGGGCGTACGGTCCCCTAGCGCCAAGCACTATTGGGGCGTACGGTCCCCTAACATCAGCCTTAAATTTACTGTCACCAATCCAATGAAACGCGAAAACTTAGGCCCTTAAGTTCCGTAACACGCTTTCAAGTTATGACGGTTCCCGATTTCATACAAAAGGCCTGCACCAACGCACACCTGACTTTTCAGAGAGCTGTAGATCAGGTAGTAATCAAAATTCTAAACATTAAACATTTGCTTTCAGTTTCAGTTTTTTTTGTCCTCTGGTGTTGCATCCAGCCCTCCCCCTATCTCCGAGTGCGTCTTTAAAAAAAATCAATAATCTCCCCCCATTCCTGAGTCCTGTACTTCGAAGCGCTCAGAACGCGCGCAGGTTCATTGACCGGTCACAATGGCGAGCCCGACAAGACGCTTGTATAACTTTCTTTTCGTTTTTTTATTGTAACCCCCACAAGTGACAGCACAGTGACAAATATTGATTTATTTTCATGGCAACACCACGTTTGTAAAGCCGAACCTGCATGTCACAATAAATGTTGCGTTATCAGACAATAACTGACAAACTTCTGGGTGGTAACGAAAGCGAAAGTAGATCTTGATTTTCCAGTCGAGCCTTGGTGACACAATTCCACTTTCCATCAAAGTCGCCAGTTCGCGTGAAACGTACTCTCAGAGCCGAATTAATATCACAATCGCGACCGGCAGAAATGAACTTAAAGACGTTATTGGATTTGGTTTTCAAATATTCGAGATCTTTTATGTATTTTCCCCGGGTCTTGGCGATTTTTTTTTTAATTCCCAGGCCAGGCAGTCACCCTGCTCCCAACAACTCTCTTTCTGATTGGCCCGCCGTCACGGTAGCGGAGTATAGCGGAGGAAATGGCAGTAGCGGAAATTCGCTAAATAGCGGACTATTGAGACCCATGGTGTCTACAAGTTTTTGTGAATGTCCATTCAAATTTAAGAATGTTGTGACATCTCAAAGTGTAGACATTTCGCAATAAAAAACTGTAACATTTTTCTGCAACTTCAGAAGTTCATAACTTTGTTAAAAATGAAGCTATGTATAAATTTGGCATCAAAATGCTCAGAAGGATAAATTCTATAAGGTAGTGCAGTTAAATGTGAAATCAGAGGATTTTGAAATTTCATTTTGTGGTACATATATATATATATACACAGCAATACTGTTACGTATATATATTATATATATACAGCAATACTGTTACATATAAATATATATATACAGCTATACTGTTACGTATATCTACAAAGAGCACGGTGATCCCACACACAAGGAGCTCAGGTTTCAGCAGCACAAAGAGACAGCGCCAAAGCGGGCTATCTCCACTCACTTCATGTCGGGGTTCTCCGCGCCGTAACAGCTCTCACATCGATCTGGGTCAAGGACGCTGGCTACCTCCTGAGTGAGAGAACAACGGAGGAGAAGAGCATCAAGGGAGGAAAAGAAGATAAGGAATTAAAGTTGAAGCAAACGACAAATCCCAGTAGTCATTTACATCACTGGGGTGTGCCACCTTTTCATCTCTCCAAAACAACAATAAATTTAATTTACAATTCAAAATGACCTGAAGCTTACTCTTATTGATTTTAGACCACCAAAGGATCTTTAAACACGACCTCCAAGATTTTTCGCCCTTGTCCGAGAAGGCTAGGTGTAGATCTTTCCTACCAGAAGATCAGGGGTGTGGCAGAAAGACAGCAGTTAGGAGGAGCCACAGAGAAGCAGTGGAAAGGCTGTAGAAAGAGTCAGGAGCCCAGAGGAGGGGACAAAGGAGGTGAGGGGGTGGGGGTGAGATAGAAAGTGGAGACGAAAGTAGACGACAGAGCATTGCTAGAGAGCAGGAAAGGAGACAAGTTTAGATAATAAATGTTTCCATCGCTAATTGGGACCTTTGAATGAGAGGCGAACACCTTAACCTCTAGGCCACGAGAGCCCCTCAACCTAGTCTGGACAGAAAATATCCAAAAATCTAAACACTGAAACATTGTGCATTCCTGGGGGGAAATTTGTAGATACAAATGGAAAGTAACATTCACCAGGGACCATTGTAATTTTCTTCACATTTTTCTTACAATTCGCATCTCCTTTTTAAAGTTAAAGAAAAATATTGACCTTAATTAGATCTTTCAGAATTACCCCAGCCCTAGACAAGACAGGTAGGAACAAGACAGGTAGGGACAAGACAAGACAGGTAGGGACAAGACAAGACAGGTAGGGACAAGACAAGACAGGTAGGGACAAGACAGGTAGGAACAAGACAAGACAGGTAGGAACAAGACAAGACAGGTAGGGACAAGACAGGTGGGGACAAGACAAGACAGGAAGGGACAAGACAAGACAGGTAGGGACAAGACAAGACAGTTAGGGACGAGACAAGACAGACATTAACCACAGACAGCCAGAGGAAAAGGGTTAATGGGACACTCAAGTGTCCTGTGTTTACCGTGGCATTATCGCCGGGGTCACTCCCCACCGCTGAAAAACAAATGTGAACAAGTTGATCAGTTCTGTGAATGGTAAATTATCAACAACAATGAAAAACTAGAATAATATTCAAATCTAGTAGCCGGGTCCAGGGGGGGGGGGGGGGGGGGAGAACACAGCTGACTAAGAAAAAAAAGAAGGAAGACAAGATAGCCATACAGCCTGATTCACAAACTGCTCACCTTACAACTATGGTCAGTTCACTATTTCACAACTATGGTCAGTTCAATATTTCACAACTATGGTCAGTTCAATATTTCACAACTATGGTCAGTTCAATATTTCACAACTATGGTCAGTTCAATATTTCACAACTATGGTCAGTTCAATATTTTACAACTATGGTCAGTTCAATATTTTCCAACTATGGTCAGTTCAATATTTTACAAGGAACATAAAACTTGCGAGACCATGAATGAACCTACCATCCCCATGGGTATTGTAGACAAGTTTCACATAACAAATATGTATCCTTGAATGAATTTGTATTTACATGAAGTTTTCTGACAATAAAATCAGCGCTATGGGGTGCTCTACTAAAGTCTGTCTGACAACAACTAAAGTCTGTCTGACAACAACTAAAGTCTGTCTGACAACAACTAAAGTCTGTCTGACAACAGCTAAAGTCTGTCTCACAACAACTAAAGTCTGTCTCACAACAAGCAAAGTCTGTCTGACAACAACTAAAGTCTGTCTGACAACAACTAAAGT